AATACTAAAATTCGGGTTATTTCTTATCAAAATTATGGATCGTTAAAAAACACACATAAAACAGATGTTAAATTTGTATTTCTTTCAAAATAAGATTAAACAAATAGGGTAATATCATCGACAGTAAAACTTCTCTTCAAAAACCCTTTTCTAGAATAAACCCTTTGGTCGCACTCAGAGTCGGACAAAAACCGGATTCTCCTCCCCCGAAATCCCTTTCCGGGCGTTTCCCCCGCCAAAAACTCCAAAACTCGTGACAATGACGCGCCTTGATAAGCCGGCGGTGGCGACTCCGGAATCCCCCCTTGACACTTGGAGCATCTAAAACACCGGAATTGAAGTTCCGGGTTTGAATCCACTCCAATTACCTCTTCTTCTTCGGAACAAAACACTTGATCACCTCGTCATAATCCGGCGGTGGCTCATAATCCGGAGGATCATCCGGGATTATAATCTCTTCTTCAATTTCCACAACCCCTTCTTCGAGAATTGCGTTAATGGTCTCGATATGGTCCTGGATTTGTCTCTGGTGACGCGATTTGATACTAATGCGGTACAGGAGTACCACCATTGCGAAAATAAACCCCACCAAGCCTGAAACCCGTGTCAATTCCCCTAGACTAGTCAAAACTTACCGAAACTGCACAAGAGGAATTTTGCTTTTTAAATTTTTTAAACACTTCTGTTTATTTTCACTTCAAATCAAAATTTAGGCTATTTCTTACTATTACGCCACAAAAAAAGTTCCAGGTTTGGAAAAAAAATGTACTTCTAAATAAAAAGCAAATTTTTTTCTTTAAATAAATAAAAGTAACATTTTCTCTTACGTTTTTTAGAAAAACTTTCTTTTATTTTCACTTCAAATATCGAAATTCGGGCTATTTCTTACTATTCCGTCACAAAGAACCGAATTTCCGTTCAAAATTAAAAGGTTTAGAAAAAAATCATGAAGTTTTTCTAAAATTTGAAAACGAAATTTTTCTTTTTACATTTTTTAGACACTTGTTTTTTATTTCATCTCAAATATCAAAATTCGGGCTATATATAACTATTTCATTACAAAAAAAACGGATTTCCGTTCAAAATTAAAAGATTTAGAGAAAAAA